CATTTGTTATGCAACATGTGTTTACTTTACGTACTGACATAGCAAAGCTGCATTTACTGATGAAATATTAGATCACAGTTTGGAGTAAATAAAATGAAAAATGGGCATCTCACCCTCTACTATATATTTCAGTTCTATCTAAACCTTCCTATCCCTTGCCAATTTCCATGAGTTGATTTTAAGGTCCTTTTTGGGAGTAATGGTTCACTTATTTGGGTTCCCTGGGGAAAAAATGTTGAATATTTGTATTTCCCTGAAAGTCTAAGATGATACCATAAATTCTGTCTCCCAAATATATCTCAAATCTATTTTTCTTTCTCTAGCTCTAGAGCCACAACTCAAGGCCAGGTCATCATATAATTCCTCTCCTAGACAACAGCAACAGACTGTTAATTCTACCTTTGCCATCTTCCAATCAACTCTCTGCTGACTGCCCATAATGCTCTTAAAAGGAAAACTGGCTCATTTTCTCAATAATTTCCCATTTTACCTAAAATAATATAAAACTCAATTCTTTACCATGGCTCCTTTTCTCTTCTGGGAGATCTGGTTCCGATTATATTTCAAACCCCACACTGTGCTCATTCTTCCTTGCTAAACAAGTTACTATCACACTAGAGCTGATGTTCTACCAAGATCACTACCCCAAAAGATCCCTACCTAGAAAGCACTTCTTCCCTTCTGCACAATTAGTTCCTTCTCTTCCTTGAGAACATGTTTAAAAGTCACATTTCCAGATAAGCCTCTCTAACCAACAATTTTTAAACAGCAAGTCTCTCCTGTTACACACTGTCTCAATGACTTTATTATTTCCTGCACAGAATTTCTACACCTTTTTTTTTTAACCTAACTTTTTTTTTAGGTAACACAAATTCCTTACAGGAAAGGTGAATATTTCAAAAACAAAAAGATATATTGTAAACATTAATTTGTCCTATATATATCATTAGATATATTTTCCTATATATCATTAAATATATGTTTTCTCTAGAAACATCTATATAAAACTGCTATACTCTTGTTATTTCTAGTTAGAAGAAAATAATATTAAGAAACATTAAATGATTTTCATGCAAGAAACAGGTCTTATCCCAAATCTAATGTAAATAACACTTGGGTCATCAATGACATTTTCTCTTTTTTTCTGAACTCTAGTTACAATGACTAGTTATATGATGACCATTCCAATTTGTAAATATATACATTGTTAACCAGATTCATGTGATTATAATCTCTTGCAATTTTACAAGTATGAGTAGTTTATCCCTGAAAATGAATTTCATTTAAATGAAAGTCCTTTTAGAAATCTTTGTAAATCAGCCCAGATTTCCTTATTTAACAAAACACTGAATAAGTTTACTCTTGAACTTCTTAAAAAACTGTTCAGTTCTTCCCTGTCTATAAATACAAGTATAATATTCAGTTTTAAGTTTATGAGCAATAGTTATCGTAGTCCAACTAATTTTAATTGTGAATTTTAGTGATCAAATATTTTTCTCCTTAGGTGTATCCACTTGTATCTGCATGCAGCTCAGTATATTTTATACTTAGTTTATTCAAAGCAATAAGTTCTGTGGTACTATTGAGTTAGCTTTAAATATTTAGCTTTTTTATTTCATTTATCACTGAATTACTGGTTAAAAAATCAATTCACACATTCTTGGTAGTAAAATAAGCTAATAAGATTCTTGAATCCAACCCACATTTTGATTTAATTATTTAAGTATATTATTGATTTAATTTTGGAAAAATAAATCACAACCTGAGTACTTCAACTACTTACAAAAACAGAGTAACCTTTGAATCAATGAATCCTTGGTAACTACTAATTGTTGTAATTGACACAGATACATGATTACTTACCAATGAAACAATATTGTATTTTATATTCACTTAAGTGTCCAGTATAAAAATACAGAAATAAGTTTATATATATAGATATACATATATATACACACAGATATATATATATATGAGCTTATATTTTCATATATATATGTGTGTGTGTGCTTTCTCAAATAGAATAAGAGAAATCTGAATACGAATCATGTTTTCACTTACTTAACCCAACCAAGTGATATAAGAGTATATCTACCTTCGAATCCATCAAAGTCTGTGAAATACAGTCAAACTGATTTATTTTATCTTTATAATATAGAGTTTCATAGACACTTAAAAGAGCTGCTTCCTATAGTCAAATTATTCTTACCACTATTTTAAGCACCATGCCAAAAATTGAGCTAGGCTAAATGATAATGACCAAAGAAACTAATTATGGAAAACTAGGAGGGTGGAAGAAAGTGAATACATTCATTTCAACCATGAAGGATATTATATTGTTTGCGAAAGATAAATAATATTGCATATTTATTTTGTAAATATCCTTAATCAGAATGCAAGTTATATAAATTAAGTTTTTCCTCCATATAGTGGCAATTTTTTCAAATAAATTTGAATATTACTTACACTACATGTATAAAGATACAACTTATATTTTATGTTATTTTTTTCTACATCCTATATCTACTCTAAATCTTTTTAGAAAAATAAGTAGGATCTTTTTTTTGATTTGTGTTATCTACATATGAAACTATATATTAACAAACTTGTCTCAAAATGTTCATAGGGAAAAAAAATTGTAATCTGATATTTCATTACCATTAGTGTGATTATTTCAGTATTAAAAAGTTATGATGATGAATAGTCATAATAAAAGCTATTATAGGGAATAATTTCTAATCACTGAATTTAGATTGTAAAGTGTATTTTATAAGTAATCACTTGTGATTGAAAAACACAAAATCTGAGCATACACTGTTTAGACTCAGAAGAATTCCTCTGACTTTTGCCCACCTTAAGCTTGGTAGTTTTTTTGCAAGTACAAGTACAACCTTATGTATCACCTGTGTTTTTAGGATGTTAATACAAATTCAAATTTGGAGTTGATTTTAATAGACTATCTCAATGATCCTATTTACTGATGAGATCCTATCCTGCTAATGGGGAAACTGAGTAATGCTCATTAACTAACATCACATAATTAATAAAAGCACACATTACCAAAATAAATTTTCCAGGTAAAATATCTTTAAAGAGTATGGGAAAGTCATTAAAATAGCTAATTAAAAACTACCTTGAGAGGTTAAACAACTCCTCTATGACCTCAAATTTAATATGAATTCCAAAAGGTCATACTTACAGTTGATAATTTCGTAGAATGACACTTTTGTCATTTGGAGATTCAGATGTGTTTTAATTATATAAGTGTTCCTAGGGTCTGGGGCTGTTACTGACGTATCACATGCACTACATAAACTGATATGTTGATTTAGGGAAATTATTTCACTGAAATAACTGTTAAATACTTCTAATAAACTTGACTCCCAAAGTATACACCTCTTAAAAAAGTCCTAGACATCTAAAAAAGATTTAGACTGACAAATATAATTAATACAAAATAAATATAAATATCTGCCTTTCCAGTTATTAAAAACTTTCTCTTTACAATTAAAAGGCAAATAATTATGTTATTTTTAAAATTCTTCTATTTTCACAAAGGCAGATTAATTAATTTACCCCTTTTACATGTAATGCCAATAACCCTTAAAAACAAACATGGGATGTGTGTGAAGGTACAAATGGCCACCGGAGAGCATGGCACTCTAAGTGGTATTTATTATATGAGACATTATTATATGAGGCATCCTCAAAGGTATGGCAGTTATAGATGACTTCCAAATTTACATATGCATTCACAGTAACAATCTAGTAAGTAAAACAATGATGAGAATTAGAAAAACATGCCAAAAGTAATCATTACATAAATGAGAACTAGCTATTGAGTCTGAAATATGTATCCTATAGAATGGTCAATATGTGTTTAACCAAGACTGTGTTGTTTCATTTGTGTCTCTGTCCACCTCACCTTCCCCAAATAGTGCACTTTCATATCATCTGTGCTCCATTTTTAAAGGCTGTATATTTAATTGACAATTATATCCTAAGTTTTAGATTTGAAATCTTTAGAAAAGTGTGGCAGAACAGGTGACCTAATGGCGGTTACTATAGTGCCACTGAGAGCATCCAGCCAGGTAGACATGAGAAACTTTTATGCTTGTTTGCCACTTGGTCCAAGGGAATTTAGATCGTACAGGTGATATTTTTATAGCAATTTAAATACTTCTAACAGAAATCCAAAGAGATATGTTTCATAAACCTTGTTTGAATAGCGGAAGAGAAATGTTCACAAATTCTAAGGGCTTTCCGTCGGATAAATCTGACTTGCACTTTTCAAACACTATTCACCTTCACTTTACAACTTTTCCTAAAGAAACAAAGTCTTCCAAAAATGTCAGTGACTTGACTTTATGAACAGAATACACACTCATGGGAAATGCAAACTTAGAAGCAGCCCCCTCCCCCCAGGATCCACAAGAAAAACCAGTGTAGACGTACTCTAGTGGCATCTGGTCTAGGAATAATTTCCAACAAGTCTACACTCGGTCTGCAAGGGGTGAGGGAGCTGGGGCTGCCCCAGAGAGGCTAAAGTGCCTGAGCCAAGAGGCTGGTGTTTGGTCACTGGGCACCGCGGAGGCAGTGCGCTCGGTCTGAGCGCATGTGGGGGTATCAACCAACACCGAACCTAACCTGGGGGAAGAGCAGGGATTCAACCGCCAGAAGCCCCAAGTCTCCACCAAGCCAGAGTCCCCCAGCCTGACACCCCCCCGCCCCCATCCCCCGAAGGACCCGGCAGCCGGGAGCGGTCCTGAGGCCGCCAGTGGGACCCAGGCGTTGCTGCTGCTGCTGCTCACGCAGGCTTTTAAAGACATGTGGCAGCAAGACCGACCGCAGCTCGCGAGGTCGCCGGTCCCTCGCGAAGTGGACAGGGCGCTCTGGTGACCCCTCGCGTGGGGAAACGGGAGAAGCCGCGCCCGAGAAGTTACCTGCAGGAGGCGACCCGAGCACGGGTCCTGCCGAGCCTCAGCTACCCTGGCCCTTACCTTGGTTGCTGGAGACGTGACTGCAGTCGCCCGGCCAAGCTGTCAGCAGGGGCAAGAAGAGACCAAATTGGAAAAGAAATTCCCGGACTTCGCAGCCCCCCATGGTTCTCCTCGGCTCTCTTCCCCTCCTCCTTAAACAGAAGTGCCAGCAGCGCAGCCAGGTGTGCCGCGTAGGGCAGCGGTCCGGGTCCACGTCTTCTTCCTCCTCCTCCTCTTCCTCCTCCACGCGGCCCACAAGGGGTGTCCCGGGGCGCCCCCCGCTCGAGGCCCCGGGGGCAGGGCACGAAGGTCCAGGCTGCCCAGGTGCAGGCGCAGCTGCTTCGGAGGAGGACGCTGCCTGCGGCGCCAGGGAGCTCCCGGCGGCTGGAGGCGAGCGGAATCGCATCCACCACCGTGTCCCGCTCGCGCGAGGACTACTCGCTGGGGCCCGGGAGAGCGCGCGCGCAGGAGCGAGCTCGACTG